CTGTGGTCCCAGCTACTTGGGAGGCTGAGGCAAGAGACTCGCTTGAGCCCAGGAGTTGAAGGTTGCTGTAAGCTGTGATGTCATGGCACTCTACCCAGGGGGACAGCTTGAGACTCTGTCTCAAAAAGAAAATAAATAAATAAATAAATAAAAATATTGTTTCTTTCTTCTTCATCTCATGCTTTAAAACTGTCCTTTTTCAGGCTTGGCACCTGTAGCTCAGTGATTAGGGTGCCAGCCACATACACTGGAGCTGGTGGGTTCAAATCCAACCCAGGCCAGCCAAACAACAATGACAACTACAACCAAAAAATAGCCAGGCATTATGGCGAGTGCCTATAGTCTCAGCTACTTGGGAGGCTGAGGCAAGAGAATCGCATAAGCTCAAGAGTTGGAAGTTGCTATGAGCTGTGACACTACAGCACTCTACCAAGGGCAGCATAGTGAGACTCTGTCTCAAAAAAAAAAAGTCCATTTTCAGATATATTTAGGAGTAAATGATATGCCAGCATAGACACATGTATTTTATTTTAAATATGTAGATATGTAATAAAGGGATATATGTGGGCCGGCGCCTGTGGCTCAAGGAATAGGGCACTGGCCCCATATACCGGAGGTGGCGGGTTCAAACCTGGCTCCATCCCTAAAAAAAAGGGGGGGCTATATATGTTCAAAGAAAGTACGGGCAGAGAGGATAAAGAAGTGCTTATTGGTCCTGTAAGACCTTCACTATGTCCACTAATGGTTCTAGGGGTGCATGCCTAGGGCAACCTTCACTGGCCTCCAGTTTCCCAGATGTTTGGGGGCTACCCCCTCTGGAATAGCATGTTATGGTTGGTCTACAGGATCTGAACAGAATAGCCTCAAGAATTTGAAAATAAAGTTTCCCTCTGAGAAGTAAATGAGTAAAATGCACCACCTGTGAGTGAGATGACCCATCTGACCTGCAAGATAAACCAAATGACATTTGGATATCACTCATGAAAGCTAGTCTAGAACGGGGTTATGATTTAGCAAGGGAAAGCCTAGTAACCTGTGGTGTGCCTTGCCTAGAAAAAGAAAATGAGACTGAGCCAGGAATATGAAGAACAGTGCAGTCTCTGAACCACCTGCCTCAGAGTTGGGATGGTCACTAATTAAAATGCAGGTTCTGCTCAGCCTGAGCAAGAGCAAGACCCCATCTTTACTAAAAACAAAAAAACTAGCCAGGCATTGTGGCAGGTGCGTGTAGTCCCAGCTACTCGGGAGGCTGAGGCAAGAGGATCACTTGAGCCCAAGAGTCTGAGGTTGCTGTGAGCTGTGATGATAACATGGAACTCTATCCAGGGTGACAGAGTGAGACTCTATCTTAAAACAAACAAACAAACAAACAAACAAACAAACAAAATGCTCCTTCTGAGCTCTATTCCTTATCTCCCGAGTCAGACTGACTGGCTGTGGGTCTAGGAATTTACATTTACTCAGATGCATCCTCTGTACCCTCAAGCTTGATAATTTTTGGCCTACAGTGTAGGTATTGGGCAGTGCATGCCATAGGGACAAGGGCACCAGGCCAAGGTAACCAATACAGGGGTCTCCGCTTTTTTTTTTTTTTCTTTGAGACAGAGTCTCACTTTGTCACCCTTGGTAGAGTGCTATGGTATCATAGCTCACAGCAACCTCAAACTCTTGTTAAAGAGGCTTAAATGATTCTCTCACCTTAGCCTCCCAAGTAGCTGGGACTATAGGTGCCTGCCACTACGCCTGGCTATTTTTAGAGACAAAGTCTTGCTCTGGCTCAGGCTGGTCTCAAGCTCATGAGCTCAGGCAATCCACCTGCCTCGGCCTCCCAAGTGCTGGGATAACAGGAGTGAGCTACCGTGCCCGGTCTTAAGGTTCCTACTTTTTTGTTTGTTTCTTTTTTCTTTTTTTTTGAGACAGAGTCTCACTTTGTCACCCTCAGTAGTGTGCCACAGCATCATAGCTCACAGCAACCTCAAACTCTTGGGCTCAAGTGATTCTGTTGCCTCAGTCTCCCAAGTAGCTGGGACTATAGGCGCCTGCCACAATGCCCAGCTATTTTTTCTTTTTTTTTCCTTCATTTTTTTTCCTTCATTTTTTTTAGAGACAGTCTTAGTTTGTCACCTTTGGTAGAGTGCTGTGGCGTCACAGCTCACAGCAACCTCCAACTCCTGGGCTTAGGCGATTCTCTTGCCTCAGCCTCCCATGTATCTGGGACTACAGTTGCCTGCCACAACACCCAGCTATTTTTTTGTCGCAATTTGGCTGGGGCCAGGTTTGAGCCCGCCACCCTCGGTATATGGGGCCGGTGCCCTACTCACTGAGCCACTGGCACTGCCCACACCTGGCTATTCTTAGATGAGGTCTTGTTCTGGCTCAGGCTGGTCTCAAACCTGTGAGCTCAGGCAATCCACCCGCCTTGGCCTCCTAAAGTGCTAGGATTTCAGGCATGAGCCACTGCACTCAGCCAGGCTCCCTGCCTGAGCCCCTCCACCATGCTGCCTGCCTTAGGAGATGAGACTCTGCTGCATTGGCACAAATGTCAGGGATTTGGCAATGGGGAAGGGTCCCTTGGCTCTTTAGTATCCACATTCTCATTTCCTTCCTTGGATTCTCATAATCTCATAGTCCCCACCCCTACGGACTGCCCAGGGCAGTGAGGTGAACACATCAGGACCCAGGGACCTGGTCGAGGTCATCAGCTACCCATTTTCCAGGGATACATCTTCAAGACCAAGGGCCTCTTTGTCCATGGACGGCAGCACATATCAGGTGGAATGTGCAGCACCTAGGTCTGAGATAAGGCAATAATGGGGGAGCCACAGGCTGACTGACAAACGAGATGCTGGACCCCCACAGGGGCGGACCATGACCAAGTGATATGACCAGGGGTGAAGGCCATATCCTAGCAATCCCTGCTAGCCCCCTCCCACCTCTGACCTCTAGTGCCTCAGTCCCACTTGGAGCAGGATGACTCTGTGACCCCATAGCCCCCTGACCATCTTTCTCATCACATTTACCTTGCTTCTCCCGTAGTGACTTCTGGAAGTTTAGTGCCTCCTTGGTTACATCAATCTCCCGCTTGATGGCATTGATGCGCTGTATGGTCTCACTGGCCCTTTTCTTTCGTTCATTCAAAATGGATTTGTTTTCTTTGAAAATGCGGTTGATCTCACTACCTCGCTCATTCTTGAAGTCCTCAAAGGCCACAGGCTTGGGCGGTGGGGTGCTGGGTCTAGAGATAAAGGAGGAAGCCAAAGAGGACTTCATTGACATCAGGCACTTCATTTTTCTTCCTGGGGCTTTTATGGGCAGAAGGCAGAGGTCCTAGTCACCACCTGCTTCAGATAGGAGCTAAACTATGCAGGAATCATTCATCATTTTTGTTTTACTCAGTATACAAGGGCACACGTCCATGGCAGAAAATGAGAAAAATAAGTAAAAGTGTAAGAAACAGAACAGAACAAAAACTATTCACTTCCTTTCATTCAACCACACTTTCATGTATCACCTTCTGGATTTCTTTAACGTACTTTTGAATGGTTGAAGCCATGCAGTATGTTTGTTTATTTACTTATTTTATTTATTGATTGATTGATTGACATGGGCTCTTGCTGTGATGTTCTATTTATTTATTCCTTTATTTAGTTATAGAGATTTATTTATTTATAGAGATGGGGGTATTGCTGTGTTGACCAGGCTGGAGTGCAATGACTATTTACAGGTGTGATGGTAGAACACTACAGCCTCAAACTCCTGGGCTCAAGCAATCCTCCTACCTCAGCCTCCATGGTAGCTAGGACTACAAGCTTGCGCCACTGCACCTGGCTCTGTATAATTTTGCATCTTACTTTTTTTCTTTTTCTTTCTTTCTTTTTTTTTTTTTAACTCAGAGTCTCTTGGCTCAGCACCTGTGGCTCAAGCAGCTAAGGCACTAGCCACATACACCTGAGTTGGTGGGTTTGAATCCAGCCCGGGCCCACCAAACAACAATGACAGCTGCAACCAAAAAATAGCCAAGTGTTGTGGTGGGCGCCTGTAGTCCCAGTTACTTGGGAGGCTGAGGCAGGACACTCACTTGAGCCTAGGAGTTAGAGGTTGCTGTGAGCTGTGATGCCACGGCATTCTACCCAGGGGGACAGCTTGAGGCTCTGTCTCAAAAACAAAAACAAAAACAAAAAAACCCACAGAGTCTCACTATGTCACCCTGGGTAGAGGGCCATGGTGTCACAGCTCACAGTAACCTCCAACCCTTGGGCTTAAATGATTCTCTTGCCTCAGCCTCCCAAGGAGCTGCAACTACAGGCACCTGCCACAACGCCCACCTATTTTTTAGGTGCAGTTGTCATTGTTGTTTAGCTGGCCTGAGCTGGGTTCAAACCTGCCAGCCTTGGTATATGTGGCTGGTACCATAACCACTGTGCTATGGGCTCTGAGCCTCAAGCTGTCACCCTCAGTAGAGTGCTGTGGCATCACAGCTCATAGCAACCTCCAGCTCCCGGGCTCAAGTGATTCTTCTGCCTCTGCCTCCCAAGTAACTGGGACGACAGATGCCTGACACAATGCCTGGCTATTTTTTGGTTGCAGCCCTCATTGTGTTTTTTGTTTTTGTTTTTTGTTTTTTTTTTTTTGCAGTTTTTGGCCAGGGTTGGGTTTGAACTCGCCACCTCCGGCATATGGGGCCAGTGCCCTACTCCTTTGAGCCACAGGTGCTGCCCACAGCCGTCATTGTTGTTTGGCAGGCCCACGCTGGATTCGAACCCGCCAGCTCAGGTGTGTGTGGCTGGCACCCTAGCTGCTTGAGCCACAGGTGCTGAGCCACCTCATTTTACTTTTTACATAGAAGCATTCTTTCATGCTATTAAAAACTCCTTGAGATATAAGATGTAGTGTTGGGGCATGGGAAAGTGGATTGATGTAGGCAACTTACTTTGACATGTATCAAAAAAATAAGTTTGGCTTAGTGCCCACAGCACAATGGGTATGGCCCCAATCACATACACTGAGGGTGGCGGGTTTGAACGCAGAACAGGCCAGCTAAACAACAATGACAACTGCAACAAAAAATAGCCGAGTGTAATCCCAGCTAGTTGGGAGGCGGAGGCAAGAGAACCACTTAAGCCCAAAACCACTTAAGCCCAAAACAAAAAATAAGATGGAGGGATAGAGAGTTAATCAGATGATGAAATAAACATGGTAAAAGGTTAACTGCAGAATTTGGAGAGTATTTGGTATATAGATGCTCACTGCACAATTCTCTCAGCCTTTCTGAATGTTTGTAAATGTTCATGGGCTAGGGGAAAAAATTCATGTACATCTTTGCACAACACACAGGGAAAAATAATGATTCACTTAGTACCCTTTCCCTAATGTTGTCTATTGAAGGAATTTCAAAACAGACTTATTTTTGCTTTTTTAATTAATGATACAATGAATATCCTTTTTTTTTTTTTTTTTTTTGAGACAGAGAGTCTCACTTTGTCACCCTGGGTAGAGTGTTATGGCATCATAGCTTATAGCAACCTCAAATTCTTAGGCTCAAATGATTCTCTTGCCTCAGCCTCCCAAGTAGCTGGGACTACGGGTGCCTACCACAATGCCTGGCTGTTTTTATTTTTATTTATTTATTTATTAGAGACAAAGTCTCACTTTGTCTCCCTCTGTAGTGTGCTGTGACATCACAACTCACAGCAACCTCCAGCTCTTGGGCGTAGGTGATTCTCTTGCCTCAGCCTCCTGAACAGTGTGGTCTATAGGCGCCTGCCACAATGCTTGGCTATTTTTTTGTTGCAGTTTGGCCAGGACTGGGTTCAAACCCACCACCCTAGGTATATGAGGCCAGGGCCCTACTCACTGAGCAACAGGCGCTGCCCATTTATTTATTTTTTAAAGCATTTGCTGCAGGTGGTGCCCACAGCTCAGTGAGTAGGGTGCTGGCCACATACACTGAGGCTGGCAGGTTCGAACCCAGCCTCGGACGGCAACAACAACAAAAAATAGCTGGGCATGTGTCAGGTACCTGTAGTCCTAGATACTTGGGAGGCTGAGGCAAGAGGATCACTTGAGCCCAAGAGTTTGAGGTTGCTGTGAGCTGTGACACTATAGCACTCTACCAAGGGCAACATAGTAAGAATTTGTCTCAAAAAAAAAAAGGCTCGATGCCTGTGGCTCAAGCTGCTAAAGCGCCAGCCACATACACCTGAGCTGGCAGGTTTGAATCCAACCCGGCCCATCAAAACAATGACACCTGCAACCAAAAAATGGATAGGCGTTGTGGTGGGCACCTCCAGCTACTTGGGAGGTGGAGGCAGGAGAATCGCTTAAGCCCAGGAGTTGGAGGAGTCCTGTTAGCTGTGACACCATGGCACTCTACCCAGGGTGACAGCTTGAGGCTCTGTCT